AATAACGTGCTTTAACCAGTAGGCATTAGTGTAGGACACTTATGTATGTATAACATCTGAAGATGTGTAGTTTTATTCATGTTTTTACATAATTTTACAGGATATTGCTATACTATTTCTCATGTTTTACTTCTACACATTAATTTCTGATTTGTAAAACATCACAGACAGAAAGGTATATCCGTCATTTAATGTAAGCTATTGAAATGCTGATTCCATAGATGTGTCTCCCATCACCCAAAACCCCTGACTATTCTTTCAACTCAGTATTTACATTCTTATATTCAAAGAAAAACAGTAATATATTTTAAAACTACAAGTCCCTGTCTATCAGCGCTGCACCATTATGTTGTAAATATAACCTATCTACCAATTGGATCAAATATAAAATTCAGCCGAATGAATGTTGATACTGCAAGGAGACGTAGCCTATAGTGTGAAGAGAAATTGAAGATGTTGTTTAATTGCTGATATATTTATGATCCATGTCCCATATTCAGTTTCGGTGGCAGTTCTTCCAGTTTGTCTAGAAGTCTTCTCATCAGGGCTCTATAAATAAAGAACTACGGCAGATGTGTAATATTTAATGCAGCCGAACCGTGTATTACAATGCCGTTATGTGATAACTTTCAAAGAGAAAAGCAAGCACACTCGGATTAAAGTATTATTTTCTTTAAAACATTTTTTTTTCCGGATTTCATATCGCATAAACACCATATCCCAACATACATTGCGGCTAAACCATCCAATCACCAAGCTTCAACCATAGCTGAGGATCTTGGGTAATCAGTTCAGTGTGTGTATCTGTTTCCGGTTATTTTATTTTGAAATACAGTTCCTGACAGACGGCAAAAAAGCCTGAGAACGAATAAATTAAAAAAAGGATAATTGTGTGTTATTGTTGAGTAAATAACAGTGTGTTNGTGCAAATGGTCTTTTCAGATTAACTTGTATTATATTATTTGATTATCACTGCAGATTCATTTATATATATAAAAATAAGACTCATATTAGTAAAGTATATATATATATAAATGAATCTGCAGTGATAATCAAATAATATAATACAAGTTAATCTGAAAAGACCATTTGCACCTTGTTGTGCTTTTACTTTTAGAATTTGGAATATATTTTTGATGCTTTTACTAAAGAATGACTTTGAATTCAGGATTTTCACTCAAACAAATAGTGTGTTTCTGATTCTCTTCTACACTGTAGTTCTACTTTTACTTGTTTAAAAGACGTTATTTCGACCCTGCTTCAGTGCTTCTAATCAAAGGTGTTTTTGAACATGCTAGGCATTTATTTTTCTACATATTAACTGCTTAGGTAAGTGACACTTTTTATCTGAACTTTAACTGCATTACAATACTGACAGTAATACAATTTCATTTGCTTTTTGACCTTATGTGTGTGTGTGTGTGTGTGTGTGTGTGTGTGTGTGTGTGTGTGTGTGTGTGTGTGTGTGTGTGTGTGTGTGTGTGTGTGTGTGTGTGTGTGTGTGTGTGTCACGCACCACAGAAGAGAGGTGTGTCCTCCAGTGGTTGAAACAGGACATGACCGAGCAGTCTGGCTCGTCTGCCAGCTTCTAAGTCATAATGAGTGGTATCGGAGACCATAGTGGTATTCAGACTGACAGTGTTTACTGTTTAAATGGTTGTTTTTATTTATTCTCTTAAAGTGAGTCATTCCCTTTATTAGCTGAGGGCTTCTGGAGGCCCTTGAACGCCCCTCAAGAGACCTTAAAGTCCACTCTGTTAATCACTGAGCCACAGCAGGTGGTCTAAGTGAAAGCATTACTCCCCTGTGGGTCCTAAATGTTACATGCATTTGATGTAATTTGATGTAATTCGTATAGAAACCAAACATTATATTTCTTTGTTTTTTTTTGTCTTTTTTTAATTCTCCGTCAAAGCGTCTTTGAGTTTCCTGAAAAGCGCTGTATAAGTCCCATGTATTATTATTATTATAAATTATTAGTAACAAAGATGTTTTTGTTGTTGCCAGATTTAGCACATATCCCAATTGACAGACACTCAAAACATTACGAAGTCTCTATCACACTCACTGACCTATAAAACACATCTATTTGCAGTGTACCTCATTATTTATATTATAATACACAGTATTTTTATTCCACTGTACAGTATTACGTTTTTATCCAATCTTGCTCTATTTTACATGTATGTCATTTAATTGTTGCTGCATTTTACTTGCACCAATGTTTCCATTTCATCATTATCTTGCACTATTCTTTATTTCTTTATTTTCATTGTGTTCACGTTGCATTGTTGGAGGAGTCTTGCATGGTGGCCGACCCGTGCAAACACGCATGTTTCGTCAAGTTGGTGAATGTTTTCTCTACGCTATGCACGTGTTGGTGAAGATGTTTCCTCATTTGCACGTGTTGTGGCACATTTGTGTTTTTATATTTGCATCGTTTTTGAAGGTGCAGCATGTTTCTCTGCTATTGTAGCACGTTCGCACGGGTTGGCCACCATAGGCTTGACTCTTGACATCACCAAGAATAGGCTGTAGCTATTGTGCTTATGATTAAAAAGCTATTGAATCTTTGGACACTTAATAACATCTTCATCAAAAAATAAGAACATATATCAGTAAAACTGAGAAATGAATGGAACAGCTTCATTTAATACGAAGACCAGCTGTAGATTTTTGAGTGTCAGGTTGTTCTTTCTGGTATTATATATAAATAAAGTGTTTTTGCACGATAAACAGGAAGCATAGCTTTGTTACATTTCATGCAGACGGTGTGTGACTTGCTGTCAGACACAATAGCTGCGGCTGGATTGCATCATCAGCTAATTGTGACCCAGGAGAGACCCTTCTCTGGCAGGCGAGAGAGAGGGGCAACCGCAGTGTGTGTGTGTGTGTGTGTGTGTGTGTGTGTGTGTGTGTGTGTGTGTGTGTGTGTGTGTGTGTGTGTGTGTGTGTGTGTGTGTGTGTGTGTGTGTGTGGATGAAACCCACTGCCTCTGCTGATTCTCCCGCTGCTGCAATCACCTGCAATACTTTCAACGCCTCGCCACTCCTGCCGGTTGCCTGGAGACGGGGTCGCTAGGCCACAGAGCTAATGATACCGGGAGAGAGGATGAAGAGGAGGAGGAGGAGGAGGAAGATGGAGACAAAGATACAAAGAGAGGAGAGGGTTCAAAGAGGAGAAAGGGATGGGGAAGTGGCAGCAACAAGGGAGGAGAAAGTGGTGTAATATCCCTGTGAGTGGGAGTCATATGCTCAGTGACTTCTGATGGATGTTGCTGTAGTGCCTTTGAGCAACACGACAAGCAGCTAACTCTTAATAAAATCAGCATGTGTTTTTGAAACAGCAAAGAAAAACAGTTTGGTGTTCAGCTCACAGCTAATGTCAAAAGGTCAGCGTTTGAAAGCTTGAGGAACAAAGACGCAGAAAATGTACACTCAGGGTTTGATACAAAAAAATATTCAATTCCCACTGGCTTACAGACCTGGAAAAAGCTTGTAAAATAAGCCCCAAAAACACAGACATTGACTAAAGAAATGATCCCTGGAAGTATAATCTTACACCAACATCACACATATATGTAAATCCTTAACTGAAGCGTGTTCCTTTAGTTGGAATCAGGAGGGAAATCACTGGAACAAATCGATGTATCCTGATGAATACAAAAAATGTCTGTGCATGCGATATTTCTCTTGAATCATTATAGCTGTTCTTGTATCTTCAGTCTGGACTTTGGGCTGATTGCTCTGCTGAATGTCTGGTGAAATGCCCTTGGATGTTGGCGCTATTCCCAGTTTAATTAAAAAGGGATTTTAATTGATTGAAAACAGTTCCTTGAAAATGGTTTCCTCATTTCATACCAGAGCAGCCGTCCTCCGTTTAAATGCTCCACTGAAACAGGTTTCATGATGATATCAAAACATAACCAAACTCTTTCCACATTAAAAAACGAATATCTGTTTTTTGAACCACTAACCTCAGTGAACCTTTGTTTGTCTTTTTGCAAGAGCAGCAGGAGATCAATTACATGCACAACACGAGGGGGGCAGAAGACCCACCGCTGGGCCGACAGAGCAACAGTGTCAGCAATTGCTCACCTTTACACCATGCTTTGTGTTTGTGTGTGTGTGTGTGTGTGTGTGTGTGTGTGTGTGTGTGTGTGTGTGTGTGTGTTGCTAATTGATTTCATCCCTGTGGAAAGTCATTTCATCATACTTGTGTTTTTTAACCCTTATCTTACGACAGCGTTACAGCAGTTAGTCTGCACGGAGACACAAAGCCCTCAGGGAAATTATAAGCTTGTGTGTGTGTGTGTGTGTGTGTGTGTGTGTGTGTGTGTGTGTGTGTGTGTGTGTGTGTGTGTGTGTGTGAGAGAGAGAGGAATATCATTGATGAGCATACTCTTTATAGACATCCAGGATACATGTTACTGATGATTTAAAGGCATCAATGACTATATTTTTATGTTTTGAGAGTCATAGCAATGTTCAACCAATGCCACGCCCCATTTGTAATGCCCATACCTAAAAAGGTCTTTAATATACATCAAACAACCAGAAAAGGGAACAGTAACCCGAGTCTCACCACAGGTGGATGTCCCACACAGGTGTTTCAGGTGCACTGCAAACCTCCCGCTGAGTGAACTCTCTGAGTGTTGTGTGAACTGGTTTGCTTGACCTCGGTGAGGCTCAAAGTGCTGACTTCACGTGCTACTTTGTTATCACATCTCTTAATCAGAACGTGCTGCGTTTCCACAGAATGTGTCCTTAAAATAGTGCTGTCACAGCTGGTACGTGCGCTACTGCACACATTTCCTCATTCAAAAAAAAAAACCCATTGAGGAATTTGACCCAGTGTGTTATTGACATGACCTCTGGGACCTTACTGGTTACTCAAAGCAGGAAGTAGCAGATGGGAAAGTAGTCCTTCTGTCTGTGTTGTTTCGAATAGAAAATTAATCTCTTCTCTGTTTTAAAACATTTCAAAACGGAAGACAATGATACAGTGTAACACATTTTATTGGTTTGTCAAAGCACCCACTGACAGATTTACCACAGATGATTTGTGTGACATATTTCGGAGCGCATGATGTTACCATGAGAAGCTGAGTCACATGGGACAAAGTGTTTGTATCTTTCAAGTAAATATAACAATAAACATAGAAATCTCCACTCAGTGCTATTGACCATCAAACAGGAAAACACAAAACCAAACTTAATTATCAAAAACGTCAAATTAAATATTCGAACAATAAGACAAGAATCGTACCAGAACTTCATATTTCAACATCATGCTTAAAAAAAACACTTTGTACTGTAAAACTCTGCTCTCTTACGATACCATCACCTACTTTAAGCGTCTAGATTCACCACTGTACTTGTTTTAAACATACAAAAACACAAACGGATAAAAGCAACTGTAAAAAATGAACAACAAGCTCCATAGGGCATAAATAGGTTACATTACTAGGTCAGTATATAAGGCATACAAAAACAACATTCCACACGTAAATGCTGAGCTTAATAAGAGAAAGTGTTAGTCAGTGCAACAGTCACAAAATGTAAAAAACCTTCTGAGGTAAAAGGTTGTTCAACTCGACACCGAACATTGAAGTTGGCCTCACATCAAGTTTTTCTAATTGGCCTAAAATCAAAATCACTGTTGCATTGCAACCAATCACAAGTTCTCATCCGAAAAGGAAATAAAACATTCAGTGTTCGGGACTTTATTTTTATTTCAAGGCACCGTCCCGATACGCCCGCAGCTTCTCTCTGTGTTCCTGGGAGAAGCAGTGTCCGATGGCCTGCTCGGTTTCCTGGACCCTCCTCCTGAAGCGGTCCCGGTCTCGCACCATTTCCTCCCAGTGTCCTTTGCGAGACGCCTGGCGAGCAAACGGCCAGGTGCGCATGACGTGGACTTGGACCAGAGGAGAAAACCGCACCTGAAATCCAGAAGAAATGAAGATAAATATTGAATTAAGTCTGGTACATTTATTATGTTTCTTTAGGGATTGTAACGTGCTACTGATGAAGAGAAGGGGTATCCACACCTCAGATAAATGTCACTCAGTAGGTGTTTTATAAACTCAGATCTTAGTTCGAAATAGGTCAATTTGAAAATACCCCTTAAATTACTCCACGTACTTTCCCCGCACTGACTGACTGACTGTTTACAGAGGCGTGTGATCAGTCAGAGTGTGACTCGTTTCTCTGCCTCAGGCTCTATTTCCCGGCTCTGATGAAACAGAGTGTTCAATGTCAAAGTATTAAAAATAAACTTAACAACTTAACACTGAGTCCAATAACTCTCTGCTGACTCGCTGGAGTCACATGACTGGCTTAGTCATGACTACCAGCAGCGTTGCTAACCAACAACAAACAACAGCTCATTCTAACACAGTGATCCCGGGCAGGGTTAACCCTTATCTCACCACAAGAGGTTGCAAAAGTCAGCACTCCTTGGATAAAGATGTACTCATTTTAAATAACAGATCACATGCTCCTCTGTATCTAATTCAGCCAATCAACTGGGAGGAGATAATAGTGCTGTCCATCTAAAGGCAAAGGGAATTTCTAAGTAAAACTGCCAAAAAACTATTTTTGACACTGGGTTTGTTTCTTCCCATTAAAGCTTTTCAGACTACGATGGAATAAAGTGGAATAGTTACATCTGTTTAACCTTGTCTTGTATCTAAGGCGATTTCAATACTCTGTTTAGACATAGTACACTAGTTTTACATCAAATACTGCAGGGGTTTTATTTATTACTTCATCTAATCCAGGCTGGCAGTTTATATTTAAATTGTTATTAGATATTAACCTTTTTCTGGGTGCTGCTGGTCGTGCTTTCCTCCTCCTCCGGCGGTGACTGAGGGGTTTGTCCGGGTTTCTTCCAGGGCACCACGGTCTTGTCTGGATGGGAGTGATGCTGTATCTTCCTCTCCGTTAGTGAGGGCTTGCTGGCTCTGGTTTTTGTAGGCGTTTTTTCACATTTATTTTTCTTTGTTGATTGATTTTTTGTGTGGTGGTGAACATCGAGGGGATGTGTATCTTCAAACTGCGGTGTTGTCGGGGAGCTCTGGAGGCAGGCCTGGAAGTTTAGAGGGTGGTACGGGTCGTCCTTTTGGCAAAGAGCTTTCCACAGCTGATCTTCTTCGTCGTCCTCTGAAGGAGGGGAGCTGCTCTCTTTCTCCTCAGTGTCTGTATCGGACCTGGAGGGGGGAGCAGGAGGGGAGGCCTGTGGTTTGGAGACTGCGCTGGTTGGAGGTGATTTGCTGCTGAGTGTGGACGCAGTGAAGCACATGGGGTTGTAGGGGTCATTGGGACTGCTGAAGAACTCCAAGAGTCTTTCGTTCTCCTCATCGATGCTGGGACTGGAACTGTCCGAGCTGGCCCAGCTGCTCCAACTGCTCTCGCTGTCAGAGCGGCTGACCCAGATGGCCTTGCTCACTGACACGTGGTCAGCTTCACTGTCCGTCGCTTTGCCTTTACTTCTGCCCATAGTTGTGTTGGTTGAGATGCTCGCAGAGAAAAAGAAGGGGTTGTAAGGATCACTAGATTTTGACAGAGACTCCCAAAGCGCTTTACTTTCCTCACTGTCAAATTCCACTACGTTCTGGTCTTCCTCGCTACTCCAGTGAAAAGTTCTCTCCTCTTCCGAAGTGTCCCGTTTGTGGACTTTCTCGCTACTTTTGTGGCAGCCGTCGTTGGAGCTGTCGCTGCTCGATACGAAGATCTTCCAGTCGCTGGGGAAGCCCATCGTCCAGCTGGATTGGTGTCCCAGGAAGATGCCCTCTTCTTTGCCCGTCACAAAATCGTCCACTAGTCCGCAGCACAGGTCGTCGGCGCGCAGGGTGGACAGGAGGGCCTCGGCAGTGGATTTCCCGGCAAAGGAGTCGCCCACGTCAGCGCAGAAGTTGGAGAGCGGATTTGAACCTCCAACCATCACTCCGTTGTCTCCGTCAAACAGCGAGGAGAACAGGAAGGACTCCGTGGGGTTTGCGGCCGTGGTCATGTGCTGGATGTGTTGACCCGTCTCGTCTGTGATTCTAACGTGAACCTCAAACCTGAACATCTGGAAAACTGGAAAGAGAAAAACAGATTTAAATTTAAAAGATTGTAGAATTTGCATTCAGTTAAATTATGATCTCCTTAATGTTCATTACACTCACTCTAAAAACCCATGCTTCTGTGCTTTGCATTTTTTTCAAAGGGTCATTTGATTAAACCAAAAAATAAATTGTTTCTAAAAATCCACTTAGGAAAGGTCATCTGTCTTTAATTGTAGCAGGCATTTTAGAGTGAATGTTAATGCATGTTTAATCTAACATTATACTTGCTTTTGAACTGTTCATTCTGACAAAAGAACAGTCACTAACAATTTAAAACATAACAATTACACTTTATAAAACTCACTATGTAGCACCACATGGAATTTAGAGGGAAAATGATAGCATGGTAAGGATAATAAAGTACAATCACTAAACTCGAACTATATTAATAAGCTACAGTTTTTTGTATAAGCTCTTAATCACGAAACAGTTTTACAAAGTGCTTAAACCAGGAACGTTTTGAGAAAAACATGGGAAGTAAAAACATTGGACGACTATTACTTCAAAGGCTTTATTGTCATATGCACAGTAGCTATTCAATCTTTATTTCAGACTCAAGGTCCATATCATATACAAAAAGACAAGACACACATCAATAAATAAGTGTATGTATGGCAATGAAAGCCCCAGGCTCCTTTAACAATGCACAAATAAATATATACGAGACATATATATTTAAAAAAACAAAATAAGTTTTAACGTGCAAGAACAGAGTGAAAATAAAATTTAAAAAAAGTGCAATATTAGGTTGCAAGACCAATTTAATGGAACATGTCCAATAAAATACAATAAGCAAAATCTTGCAGAGTATATTGCAAGTGACCAAGTAAGTACAAAACATGTAAAATAGAATAAGATAAAGAAGAACAGAATGTCAAATTCATTATTGTACAGTGTAATAAATACTGTTTAATGTAGTAATAAATAAATACTTTATTCTCAACGGCTAAAATAGCTGTAGGTAAGAAAATTAGGATATTAACACGAAAATAGATAACTAGGCAAAACGCACACTTCCTGTAACCTTATAAGGCATTATTTAGGGTTATTATTATTAATTGTACTAATGATTAAGCGACGTCACATCTTTAACGGTACAAATATAGACTCAACGGTTTCTGGACTTTTTAAATGTACGTAAACAAGTCCCAACGGTTAACGTTCAAAACTACACTGTAATTGGAGTAATTAAAACGAATACAAAACTACACCCAGACTCAAAATGAACGTATTTTGTTATACTCTTTTCGTACCTGAAATGAAGGTGTAGTATATGACCTGAACCAGAAGTCGAAGCTGTTCCCAGAGCACGGTGAGCATTTGTTTAGTCCAGGGCAGAAGCGCCCTCCCCCCGCAGCCGAACCTCTCCATCGCTGTCCTTTCAGAACCCTTCTCGGAACCAACCGTCGTAGCCATTTTGACTTCTCCTTGTATCATGACGGTTGATGTTGACATAAAATCCTCACGTATTTTGGTACTCCTCGTCAAAAACCAAGAGATTTCGCGTAGTTGTCAGTGACAGGTATGCGTCGATATGCTGTCGCTTCATCTTCCGGCAAATATGTGCCATTTTCTTTGGTTTCCTTCGTCAAATACTCTCAGGTATTTTCTCCATGTTTTGTGTTGTCTTCGTTGTTGTAGTAGAGTTGAATGTCTACGGATTGCAACACCACTCAGTTATATATTCAACGTGACGTCAGGCGCAGTTGTGATTGGTCACCACGGCTCTCACTCCCCAAACCAACCGCACCTCACGTAACAAAGGTCCTCCCAAGCGTTACGTAAATTGACGCATGGAAATTACCCGTAGATTCCACCGTGATCAGGAAACGTCTTTATGCATGTTATCAGTCTTCTGGGAAAACACTTTTTATAGTAAGTATGGTCTGAAAGTGAAAACTTGATGTGAAATAGGAGTGTTTTCAAAAAACACACGTGTGCAGTAAAAATATCCTGTGAGGAGGATTTCGATTTTTGTTTAACTTTCCCCATAAGAAAATGTCTGCAAACAATTTTTTTTTTTTTACTTTTGTCATTACATAGTAGTAACAAAACGGTTTCTCTGCATTTGACCCATCCTAGTGTTAGGAGCAGTGACTGGGTTAGGGTTTGTTAATTTACTAACAAATCTAATATCCATCTGTATCTCAGTTTATAGCACATATCCCTTCAATAGTGTTTTATTTGTCAGACAGTTTACAGCCATTTTGAGATGTTTATATTGCATTGTTTATACTCTTTCCCCCCTCTCCCCTCATGTGCAATACTTTGTTTTACATGCTGCGACGAAAAAAAAAAAAACAGTCAAGAGTATTTTATATACTCAGTAAAATCATAGATTGAAAATGTATTCAAACAAGTTCTGTGAAACAGTAACCAACAAAAGACAGGCGCAATTTCCAATTTAACTCTTTATTATCCAAAATGTGTAGCGTTTATGCCACCAGAGCAGAAGCTGTTGAGGACTCGCTGTAAACAGAAAGAAAACATACCATTAGAGGGAGCACTTCTCAAAATGGCTATCAGTTTATTTTTAACATGCATCTCATGAAGGGATAAAAGGTACTACTGGTCTAAATAGTGACAAACATCTGGTCATGTGTACGTTTCTACCCTTTTTTATTATTATAAACAATGCCACTCCAGATAGTGAAGTATATATGAACCTAAAACACTTAATCTACAAAATGGCCGGTAATCCATTGCTTAATACATTATTGAACATCGTAGAAAACACAAATAAAATATCTAATCTGATTGTGTGAAGGGGACTGGCAGTAGTGGCACATGTAGCCAGTACTGTTAATTTACCTCCATTTATTTTCTAGCACAAAAGAAATATCATTACTCTAAAAAGAGAAGAGCAGGACAATGATTTGTGCATCTTATCATGTTTAAACAGACCATGTGGACCATTTTGTAACAAGTCTAAGACATTATTGAGTTTACCATGTCATAACAAATATTTAATTGACTTTTCAAATCAAAAAGGAAAGCTTCCCAAAGCAGAAGCAATACATACTACTTCCAGTTGGGGGCCAGTACTCTCTTGGTCTTGTAGTAACGGGCCAGCCTGTGGATCCTGCTCTCTGTGAGAATCAGGCGGAACTTGGCATCCTTGTCCTGCAAGAAGAATAACAAAATGAGTGTGAAGTGCAACAAACATTTAAATGTACATACACCCAACTCGAGCTATAGAGCTGCCTATAGCAAGAGCACATTCACTGATGATGCAGGTTTCTTTGAGTCTTATTCGTTAAGCACTATATGTTAAAGCCTAGTGCCGAGTGAATTGAATCACAATGTCAATTACATTTGAATACAGTCAGAACAGCCTGCTTATGCAAGTTGTGCAAAACATTGAGGCAGGTGTAGATTACAGATCAGAATATATTACAAGTTATTTTGTGGCCTGCTCACTCAGGGCGTCACTTGTATGCTAGAGATGTACATCCAAAGCACTTAGACGATGTTATATAGAGTGATAAAACACTTTAAGCCTCAAGGTAACAGCAGCAAAGTCCAACAAATGCCACTGTAAAACCTGTCCTGGGCCTAGTTCTTGTTATACCTTTCTGTTCCTCTCCAGATGCTTCCTGATGGCCACAGCCTTCTTGATAAGGTGATAGAGATCCTCGGGCAGATCAGGGGCCAGACCTTTGGTCTTCAGGATCCTCAGAATCTTGTTTCCGGTGACGAAACGCACCTGGGCCACACCATGGGAATCCCTCAGAATAACACCTGGACAAGGTAAGAAACACGCTTTAAACTTAGACACCACCGTTTGCTTAATGTTTTGTCAGGCTTCTGAGAACAGATGGAATCACACAATTAGGCAAAAGCTAAACTTGGGAGGATCATCTGATTTCTCCATCTGAACTTAGACTACTTGTAAATATTTTTAAATTAAAAGCAAAAGGGAATGCCAACGTGTGTTGTGAAAAGAATTACAGATTATAACAATAAAGTGTAGCTGGTGCCTTGCTAAAATCAAATCAAACCTAAACAGATTAAAGTCCTGAGCAAGGTGAGATATCATATTTTCAGTTCAAAAAGTGAGAAGTTCTTCAAAACAAATAACTGTAATGTAAAGCGGTACTTATATATGTATAGAGGGGACTGGCAGTAGTGGCACAAGTAGCCACTACTGTTAATTTACCTCTATTTTCTCTAGCACAACAGAAATATCACTACTCTCAAAAAAGAGAGAGCAGGACAATGATTTGTGCATCTTTACATTCATATAAAGAACAGGAGTATCACAATGTAATGGGATGTCCCGCAAGTCAGATGGTGATAAAAGTCTCGTAAAAATATATATGTCATGTCTCGATTTGGGCAGATAGTTGCCCAACTTTCTCTGTACCCTTGATAAGTGATAATGTAAAGTTATACAGTAAAGGTGCATCTTGGTCCTCTAAAGATATATTAATTGCACAGCACACAGTAAAAAACACATGTTATCATTAGCTTTGTCAAATCTAATTGATTTTGACTATTGGGTGAAACTCACAAAATGTGCCCGGACAGGGGTTACACCATGGCCCGATTTCCCCAAATAAAAACGTGCTGACATTTTAAATAAAGGATTCTAATTGTTACACCCATGTGTACTGTTTCACGAGTGAGGATAACTGCAGCTTGCAGACCAAGTAACGTTAAAGTTGCCGGTCGGAAACTCGATCAAGCAATATGTGTTCATGTCTAGCAACAGCATTTACAACAATATATAAATACATTTTCTAGAAGTCGAGTCTGATAGAAACTTACCAATCTGAGAGGGGGTTAGGCCCTTTTTGGCCAGCTTGAAGATCTGATCTTTGACATCATCAGATGTGAGTTTCAGCCACTGCGATAAATAATTAAATGATTTATAAATTGATCAAATCGGCTCAGAAACATTAAGATCCTCCAATATAATTTCTGTATACTTACAGTGGGCACACTGCGCCTGTAAGGCAGAGCAGACTGGGACAAGCCCTTTCTGTAGGAGAGAAGGACAAGCGACTAGTTAGACATGAAAGCAAACATTACAGGCATGAATAAAAGCGTTAAAGGACAACAACTCTAGTTTCTATGTGCACCTGGGGAGCTATTGAAGGGTGAGGGCTGTGCTAACGTTAGCTTTAAACTCGTGTCGGAGATAACTAGTCTAAATCTGGACGTCAAGTGCTTTTAATACAAGGGTTTAATTTCATTCTTCAATTACATGAGGAAAATGTGCATTTGTGCTGTTAATGCGACTTATCTTACTGTCTAACTAAAGGCTAAAACAGCAACATCGTTGTTAGCTGGCTTTGCTGTTAGCTAATGCTAACATGCTAACAGCTAGCCGGAGAAGGATGTCGATGTGAGCGTGCGAAAATGTTAGTTATTTCCTCGTCTCAAAGCTGGATTAAAGAGCTCAATTTGCTCCTCGTACATCCATAACACGTTTACAAACTCTATCGTGCCGTAAAAATCGATCTGTAGACACAATATTCTCACTTTATATGATAAAAAGAGAGCTCACCCGGGAGCGTGCATGCGACCCATGATGGCGGTTGAGGAAGAGAGGCCGCACACGCGACAGAAGACGGTATTTTGCACTAGCGCCGGATGTGACGCAATGACGCAGACAAAAGCTTTCTTGACGCATTCAAGAGTTAGAAATTGTTATTAACTACAAATACACAATAATAGCATAGAAATACATTGAAATACCGCAAGTAAAATAACAGGTAACTAATGTTTTGAAGGCAAATGTACAAAATAACAATATTGGCTTCTAAATGTAGTGGAGTACACGTGGAAATGTTACCGAAGTGTAGTACTAAAGTAAATCATCCTACAAAACATTCCACCACTGACTACAAGGTCATGTTATTATAGGCATAGCCTAAGCATCAACGAAAAAGATACATTTCAAAACAAAATCAGAACATCTTAAAACGTTTTATCTTCTCAGCCAAATGGCACATTCATAAAAGGAAAGTTAATTACAGTAAACCTTTATTTTAAGTTTGTATTAATGCCCAAGATGCAATGCAAGATAACACACAAACTAGTCAGCACACTAAAAACTCAAAATCCTTAACCCTTTAACTACCAGACCAAGAAAAACGCTATGAAAAAAGTATTAGTTTGCATTTTTTTACCAAATGGGACATAAATAACCACAAAGTATTTTTTTTTTTTGACTGAACACACAGTTTTGTTTTTATGAGCCTCTACCAACTGGTCGAGCTGGCCTTTTATGGTAAAAGTGCATTTTCAACAATCATCATACAGTACAGTATGCATCAAACTCAAATAAAACACAAACTCAAATATGGAAAATGAGCAATATATACAACCAGATATATTCATAAAACATAATAAATTATAATTGTAAAAAACTAATGTTAAGTGTTTTTCATAGCAAAAAAAATACTTGCTCATCTTACTGTATATGCTGAATTGGCCTAACAGGGAACCACTGGCCTAACAGCAAATGTCCATATCCTGTGTTGGCCTAACTTGCTCCTCTGTGCAACTTTGGGCTGAATGCCATGCATGAAAGGTGCTTTATAAATTATTATCACTCTTTCACTCTGAGACTCATAAGGCAGTACTAGATTTAGTAATATTACCATGAATCTAGCTATTTATTTACCATGCTTTATTGGAAAACATCTCTGAAAAACTCATATTGCTAGTTTACCATAAAAGGCCAATTCGACCAATTGGTTGAGCATATTTAAAAATTAAAAATACACCCTTGTAAAAACTTTTTTTGTGCACCAAGTTATCTAATTAGGTTCAGTCAGTGCTCTGACACTAACATATGTCAAAAATGATATGGTTACCTTACAAAAGTTGACCAAAAAGGGTGATTTCTTCAGGAGTGATTTTTAGAATGCCAACTTTCTCAGGCTTTCTGTTCGAACCACAGTGACATCTAGAGGTTGTTTTGTGCATAACATGTCAACCAAACGGTAGAGCTGGCTGAATCAGATGGAGTTACACTTTATTTATTTTTTTCCAACAAGATATCAAGACACAAAATGTGCTCTACCAAATGGTGTCGCTGGCTGTTAAAGGGTTAAAGACTCTTAATATATGTGTAAATATTATGTAAATGTCTGATTTTATTTGTTATGATGTAATGTATGTATCCCCAATCTCTGGGTGTATAATGTTTCTTTGTTAATGTGCTGTTGAGCAAATGAAAACAACTCAAACTTATTTTCAAAAATAAACTAAGACATTGAATGTTGATCAAACTGCTCATTTTATATTGTCATGAAGTCATGCTGATTTTGAAAAAAAAAAAAATTGTTACACATTTCAATGTAGATCAATTTGTATTTGCTCTGGTTGGATGCCATCAAATAGGCCCCTGTATTCAATAAATGTCCCTCCCCAAAATGTGAAGATGTAAATAATTCAGGTTACAGTAAATCCTGTTTAATCTTTGTAACAATTTGATTCTACAGTCAAAATAATAATAATGAGACACTGGAAAACATGGCTAGATACATCAATATTGTGCAGAACTTTATAACACAAACAAACAAGGAGTCGCATGACATTTATTCCAAAAACATTTAATTTGCTTCAGGAAAGAGGGATTACAGTACACACTGATCCATTCGGGTTACAGGTCACCAATTAATAATAAATAACTGGCCATGTTAATACAAACTCTGCTTGCTTTCTTTGTACAGTCACTAAAAGAGTGGATCAAGTCACTAATATCATAGTGTGAGTGATGCTCTTAGATCATAGTTGTCTTGAATATCTCATTATTTCAGATACATTTCATTTCATTATTAAACATTAATAACAACTTTAGATTTATAGTTAGCGAGAGGAAGCAGCTAATTCTCAGAAACTTGTTCCCTTTTTGTAAAGATGTTTTAAGTCAAAGTTGCCTTTTCAGCAATGATCTGAGAAAGGTTTGCTCGAAATGTCCTCAAAATTCAGAGTGTTCTTTAACTTAAATGTCCTATAAACGTGGATCTGGACTTCACTGGCAGTTATAAACAAGTTACCCAGTTACTTTTAATGGCGTCATTACACCACAGTGTGGTATTGCAGCCTCAGACTGCCTCCTGTCCAGACTCCAGTTTGAACTCAGTCCCTAAATTGCTTTTTGAAAAATCTGAATTATGGTTTCGAACCACCTGAAGGAAACACAGAACTGACTTTTGATCAGCGTCATCAAGCAACCATTGTCTCTTCATCCAGAGCGTGATCCAAAGCTTATGAAACAAATTCCCCTTTTGGTGTGCTGTGTGAAAATAGTCAAGTAAGAACACGAGAGAAAGACCTGGTAGTGTGCGTTTAGTGGAAGCCCACTCTTACAAAAACCTTCAGACCTGCTCTGGCAGAACTACTGCTATAACTTTTAATAAGGACACATTTCATTGTAATTAAAATATATTTAGCAATAAGGCCAAGTTGAGCATTAAAAAGGGATTGTGAGCACAAACGAAGGCACCCTGTTCCTCCTCGGAGAGTGGTTTGATTCGCCGTCCTTCTCGTTACTCTTGGCACTTTCGTGGGGAATCATAAGGTCACTGTTGATTTCCTGGAATCTGATGTGTTGGACTACTCTACCCAGAAGTGTCTGCTGCAAAGCAGGAAAACCTGACGCCTCCTATTTGTCTATGTAGAAAATTAACAAGGAAAATGTAAAAATGAGCCCCCTTTCTATTCCTTAAAAAATAAACATGTCAATCTATATATACTCTTCTGAAAGTAAGCCATTTTGGTCCTCTAATATCAAAATGTACAAAACATTACAGCTCTTTGTTATAGCTTAGGAAAAAGAGAGACACAATAAGTGAAGATTGTTTGTCACAGAAACAATCTTGTTTAGTTAAAGATGGGAAGAGAGGAGAGCAGGCTCCACTTTGAGGGTTTGTGAAACGGTCGCCTTCTTAGGGTGCGTCGGGTGGAGTCTGCATTCATGTCATATGGGAATAACCACTACAGGAACATCATCATTATCATAAGCAATAACTTGGTGGGAGCCACCTTGATGACATTCTTTAGAACCAGGTTGTGACTGATCAGTATGTACACAGTGATGCATGGTTTTAAGCAACAAGCGCGCTGTAGCCTGCCATGATGTATTAACAAACAGTCCATTTGGTTTGTTAGGTTTAAAACAAATATCACTGCTTATACCTTAAATCTGATTATGTCAGAAAAATAGTATGTCCATCCACCAAGTAGTATTTTCATGAACCATTAAATACAGTGACTAGTATTTTCAGGTAAGGCTGCATCTGCCACCGTTCCCATATGAAGTGAATGCAGTAGTTTTTTCTCCTGCAGACACAGAGTCGTTCCCCGCTCCGGCGCAGGCAGGTTTCAGAAGTACGGGACGGCCGTGAGTTTGTACCACTTGACCGTCTCCTTGCTGAGGTCAAAGTCTTTGAGTCTGAGCGTGATGCCGCCCAGGAAGTAGTTCTCTCGCAACGACTCGGCACTCAGCACGCTCAGCTGGAGCTCCCGCAGACCCAGGCTCTCCTTGCTGTAGCCGCTGTACACCAACTGTGGAGGAAGAGGAGGGGGAAGTGAGTACAGTGTCCTGATAGACATGGAGTTCTTATTTGGGTTCACGTTGGTTAAACCGTACACCCCAGCACTGCATCAGCCAAACAGCTCGCTGCACCTGCACTGCGAGGGGGACCCAAGTTCCCATCAGCAAAAACACGTGGGTTTGCTATCCTGGCTCCAAAATGGTGGAATGAGCTCCCCATTGAAATCAGGACAGCAGATAGCTTACACATGTTCCGGGGCAGACTGAAAACTCATCTCTTTCGACTCCACTTCGAGCGATAGAATTATTAACAAAGCACTTATATACTAATAAAGGACTGGCTTATCTAAAGCCAGTTGAGTAGCACTTGAAATGTTTGGCTCTATGAAACCTGATATACTTATATGATTCTGTTTTCTTCAAGTTTGTATCTCTTTGGTCAAATGCACTTATTGTAAGTGGCTTTGGATAAAAGCAACAGCTAAATGCAATGTTATGTAACGTTGGCAATTCAGACCAGCAGGATGGAATAATATCTAATGAAGCTCAGTGTAAGTTCAACCAGGAAGACCATCTTTACTCTTAATTTACTATTCCCACCTAACTAACTACTCTCTCTCCTCTCAATAAGTGATCGGGGCGTCACTCTCCAGCTTAACCAATCACTTCGCTCTATTCCCAAGAGCCTATCATAGCGCTCTGCCAAACATTTTAAGTCTGCTCTCCCCCCTCTGACAGCTGGGGGGAGAGCATTACAATTCATTAATTTTTTTAAGAAGTGTCAGGTAAATAAGATTCCCTCTTCCTGCTCCTTTCCACCATGCTCTATAAAAAAAAAAAATCTGTATACAGTAAGTGTACATGTTTTGTTTTAAAATAACTGCCATGAGTGGAATACACAAATAATACATTCATTAATGGGAAAATAAATGATTTTTTTTATTTTTAAAAATATGTTGTAGTTGAACTTGTAGTTTTAAATTATGTTTTTAAGTTTCTAAGAACTAGTGTTTGGAAGTTAAATAAAAAAATTGCGTCTTAACACATCAAGATAGTGTTATAATTTACCTTCACCCTGTATTCATTTTTATAGAATAAAGCTCAAACGTTTTATAATGTAACTCAATGGATCCTCCGATAACAGAATCTACTTATCAAAAGAAAGATCTCCCTGCATTATGCTTACATTTATAAAAACAAAACCATGGTTCTTGAGTTTAGGAATATAACATCAAGTATAAAAATGCAGGCAAAGTGTATTTGAGTATTTCCGAACCATCTCATTGAAAGTAGGGTTCCTGGTTTTCCTCGAGATCTTTGTCTTGCGTTTGGAGGTCTTGTGTGGATCTGGAAGCAGGTAGGTTTTCACATAAGGGTTGGGATCTGTTCCATCCTCAGAAACCTGAAGGCAAGTAGAGAGATTAATATAAGGACAACAGGTAGATAAACCAAAAACAAACAAACAAGATAACTGCCTGTCAAAGCAGTTTTTGAGCATCTGTATTTGTTAGAGCCAGTTTTGTGTTTTTATAAGAAAGGCCACCTAATTGTGACGTCTGTAGTCAACACACTTTAAAAGACTACAATTCCCACGGCGCCTCCTCTAGAGTGACACTGATGGGCAACCTGTCAGAAAGACGCCGTCGAGGAACAGTCTTTAACCGTCCAATTGTCCTTTAAGTTATATAAGCCTTATCAATAAAGAAAGAATACTCACAGCTCACCTATCATGCTATTTTTAGGCAATAGCATAGGTCTCAGATATATAAAAAAATATAAAAAACATGTCTATGAAGTGTTTTGCTCAAAATACCAAACAGATCACCCATTCTAGCCATGCCTCATATCCCTCTATTTCACTTCCTGTTTCAAAAGTGCTGATTTGGGGTAAGACTACTTTATCACTTAAACTGAAGGGAAGAAAAAATTTAGAAGGTGAAAGGGATTGTCACCAGCGCCAGCGTGGGGTAGTTTCTTCAACCGGCGGTTCTCTTTTCGACCTCGAGTTGTTGATACACGTGTTGGACAACTCCTTCTGAGTTGTCTCCAGAGTGTCCCATGTGTCATAAGTGTGTTATGATTTATTTGGGTCGCCCTGTTACAATACATCTCAGTTCCTTCATGTAGACAAATGGAGACTAGAGATCAACTGGACCACATGTGAAGAAAAGGTTAGCGGTGCCTACTCCTTGTTACTCCCAAATCACGATGTGGGTTTCTGGTACATTATTTGGAAGTGAAAACTGAGTGGAAACAAAGTTCAAGTATGAGTGACATGTTATCTGTTCCACTTAATTTCCAGTGGATAATACGTTTTAGGTGAAGGAGTACCACAGAAGTATGTAGTGGTACACAGGGAGACACCTTCTCTTAGCCTTTCAAGTCGTTGTTTCTAAGAGAGAGAAAAACAGGACTGGTAAAGATATTTTTGGACAGACTTTTACTCGACTAGTCTAAAACGGTTGAAATACATACAAGTATTGCGACAAAACCGATAAATATTGGTAATCGGTTAGTGGTTGGTTCATTGGGGGGGGGGGGGGGAAATAGTGGACTTAGACGGAGGTCTCGTGGTAACCTAAGAAAGATTGGTTTAGGAGATCGTCCCCGCCACCCTCCCCGAGGAACAAAGTAGTATTATCATTGTCTTCTCTTAGTCGTGAAACCTTTGTCGCGACTTTGTCTCCCCCAATACCCATTTACGACGTTAACTAAGACAAACCAAAACCTCGGTTTGTGAAGCTCTGTACAAAACATGATATATACTCTGGACATTATATAACTCACTTTTTGTCATATTAACCCTGGAAATTATGATAAACCATCAGTAAATAACCCATTACTCCTGAAAGTGGAGCTGTTTCTTATACAAACAATTGGAAAAAATTAACAAAACAACATTATAAAAGGACTCAACACTCTAAACACGTCTACGGCGGAGACTCAGGTGGAGACCAGCCACCTTCCTCTTCATTCGAGGAGCTAGAGGATGTCCTTGTCGTTGGAGTAAGTAGTACCAGACGTGTTAGTCTCAGACCCTATTTATCTGTAATAAATTATGACAGTACCGAAGGAGGATAAAAAGAAAGTTCGGTGATCTGGAACTTGTCTGAAAAGATTTGTACCAAAGGAAAGGAACATTAATGCCATGTCAATACTTCTCTAACGAACCGGAGGCTACCAAACCTACTATCAATAACGCTACACCAAACGACTTTTATTTTATTGTTTGATACATGTGTACGTTGGTTTCATTGTCTCGGAAATGTTATAAGTTTTGTGTTCTACGTTTTGAGTTTTATTTATTGTTTGTGTAATTTCCCCTGGATAGTACAGTTTTACGTGAAGACTACAGACAAATATGTATTTGTACACAGGGGCCAACACAGCCCCTTAAGTGCGGTTCGCAGCTTTTTATTTTGGGAGAGAGAAAAGGAGCATAGGATTTAGAGATTTGCCCGATGTTGCCTCGACTAGGCGTAAACTGGCACGGCTATACTACATTATAGAACTTTACAATCCGACCTGAAAGTGGGTGCCGGGAATAGTCTTTGTTACGGGCTGACAAACGTGCATTATACCAGCCACAATGTAATCGTAGCGATTGTGAGTCTCGATTGGACTATGACCGTTCTGCGTACACACACTTTCTTTCGTCCTTTTTTTTCCCTTGATGGAACACCAATAATGGCCGTCCTCTCCTTCGGGAAACGTAGCAGGATGACAAAGTCTTTATTAGGAACAATTTAGGTACTATAACCGCAAAGTAGTACCGTCATATAAATCCTGGTCATCGACGGGCCCAAGGGCGTACTCGAGTCGGGGGAGGAAAAAAAAACAATAGT